CGCTTCATAAACCTCATGTTCATCCCTTTTCTTGGGGTTTATGGAAGCGTTTATGACACCTTAATAAACCCTTTAAAAGGGTTTGTTAAACGTTGCACTTTCATAAACCCTTTTTTCGTTTTTTATTCTACGGATTTTTTTTTCAGTGTAGGAAATGGTTCTTCCTAAATCGATCATTTCATCTTCATTCTTTACCAATATAAAACTGTTCGAAATAGAAAATCTTTCTCGTTCTGTTTTTCATAAAAGAGAGGGTTTTTATTTGGGAAGTCCTATTCATATTTATTAACCACGACATCCATGAGCTTGCTGAGCCGCAATGAATGCAGATGACCCGAATGCATTGACGATGGTAAAAAGAGTCCGCCCGTCGAATTGGCATAACGCCTGCCGGGTAGCAGCCCACCACTGAAACCAACCACCGAGTGTGCCACAGACTGAATTGAGGCATGACTGAAATTCATTATCACATCGAGCTTGTGTTTGACCACATGTCTCATAACAAACATCGTGTTTATTGCAACATTGAATAATAACACGTTCACCGACTAACTGTAGAGCCCAATCGATGTTCACACTGCCGGCAGCCCCGCATCCATTTGCTACACGAAGCATGCGACCAGACAACTGTGGTGTTCCAAACGTTGTTACGACACACTTCATGAATACCATCAACATGAAAAGATATAGTTTTGGCATATTTGAAATCGTTTTATGTAAAAAAGATACTTTCCCCTGCGTCAAGACTATGTCGCTGGCTTTTATTAGAGAATGAAGAATTGGCTGGTTTTAATTTGCTTATATAGGTAGTTCGTTTGGATGGAGAATGCAAATGAAGCTCGGCAATTTTAATTGCCAGTATCACTTTCCGATAAAACCATTTCGATTGCTCTATGAATACTTGGATCTGATAAATTTGATAGAAGGCCACTATTTCTCCATCGTTTTGTATATTGATTTTTCCGTGTGTCAATATTGATTCTGGTCTTGTCTCGTATTCGGATCTAGTTTCCATATGCAATTCAACATAATTCAGGTCTCAAATCCATATTCTCTCTCGATGACGTCTCATTTTCCCTTTCTTTCTCTTTCTATTTAGCAAAATTACACTTAAAAAATGATCCAGCATATTAGTCGATGAATGTTGATTACTTTTGTTCGCCGAAAAAAACGTGATAAAAGAATGGCCTTAGCAAACACATGAATAGTTTGTGGGTGTGGGTGTGGGTGGTGTGTGGGGGTGTGGGTATGGGGTGTGGGGTGTGGGTGTGGGCGTGGGTGTGGGCATGGGTGTGGGTGGGTGTGGGTGTAGGTGTGGGTGTGGGTGTCGGTGGGTGTGGGTGTGGAGTGTGGGTGTGGGTGTGGGTCTTGACAAAGCTATAGTCGTACCCACCCCCACCCCCGCACCCACACCCACTCCCCACACCCACGCCCACACCCGACACCCACACCCCACATCCACGTCCACACCCACACCCACACCCACACCCACCCACACCCACACGCACACCCTTCTGACTAGACAGGACGAATATACTGACGTTTCTGACTAGACATGTTGCCCGTCCTACCCATTTTTTTGCTCTCCTGGGTTGACAGTAAAAAGTAGCAAGCGCTGTTCTGAACGAAAATTCAAAGTCCTTTAGAAAGAACACAGCCAAATAATCCATTTATTTGAATAAAGATTTTTGCGTTTTTGTGAAATCTTCCGATTAACTACTGTGTTTGTCAAATTCTGATTTTGTACATTTGTATCGGGCAATCCCGACCTTGATGTAGAATCATTTTATAGAGTTAACACCACAGTTCAGTATTCACTATAGGTAGAGTACAGTTTAATATCTTTAGAACAATACATGGAGTTTTGTGACACGATATTTCAGAGTCTCAAAACAAGAAAAAATGATGCTAGAGAATGTAATATGCACTGCTACTGTAAATATAACTACGGTAGATAGAAATGTTGTGCGATGTTTATTAGGATAGAATTTCTAGAGCAAGCTAGGTTTACAACATTGTAAGTCCTTTTGTTGCGCACTATTATTTGGTTAGAGTACTCCGCAAAACAATAGGCTTTAATCAACCACTAATTCATTTATAACAAGAATAATGTTTAGTCTATTCGTAAACGTAGTAATGAAGTGAAGCTAACTGTTTTCGGAAAAAGAAGATATACGTGAGATGACTGCAACATGTTTCGATAGCAATGCCAATAAGGGCTTTATATACGCAGAACTATTGGACAGAAAAAGATAATACGTTGGGTACGAGTAATTAAAATCGATTAAAGTAATCTAATTAATTTAAACTGATTTTTTTAAATTTTTAATCGGTTTATGATGTAATTGCACCATCTCTGTGGGAAACAATTTATATACTAGTTGCAACTTTACTTAAATTGCTCTAGTTTAGCTTAGTACCAACTTCATAATTTCTAAACACGAGCAAATAAAAAATTAGGGTTTTTAGTTTGAATGCTGAGAAAAGCATCTATCTTTAATATGCGTGGTTAAAATCAGTTAAAAATTAAAGATAGATTAAAATCAATCAAAAGGTAACAGTAGATTCAAAATCGATTAACAGGTAATTGTGAGAAAGGTAGTCGACCACTTGACGAAATTGCTAGTCAGAGAAGATTATGTTACACACTTATGAACGAGAATGGAATCGGAATGGAATCGAATGATTTATTGTTTAAAGCAGCAAGTATATATATATATATGTAAGAACAAGGAAAGGTGAAGAATTCTGTGGACGGTGACGAGGTCACCAGAAGAAAGAACAAGACGGATACACACACATATATGTATAGAACAAAAGAAGATATAGACGAAATACATATGATGACGTAACAAAGAACGGCAGAGATGATACACGTATGATGATGTCACTTAACATAATACAAGGTTGATGCAAATTAGAGCGTTGCATAGAATAGGAGCAGATGATCCCCATATAAAAAAGACAAAAAAATCTGATTCTAATTGACTTTTTATTCTTTTTTCATGAAAGATCTCTATTTTGTTGTATTTCATCTTATCATTTACAAAAGCATAACAATTTGATCAAAATTAGAGCGAATTTTACTACATGAGAAATTTTATCGTGACTATACTAAAATAAAATCCAAATTATAATCGATTATAATCAAAGTCATCAATCTATATTAATCGATCAATATTGATTGGTGATTTTCACTGTAATCGATTATAATTTGGATTTTGATGCAGAAGAATCGGATTGATGATTTTAATTAGGCGTATAGGGTTTTCAAAATTTTTCATTTAATTCATGTTTATTAAACATGAGGAATCAAAAAAATCATGAGATATTAAGACTTTGCTTTTCAATCTCGAAAAAAGGGCTTATCTTCGATGTGCATGATTAAAATCGATTACCAGTTGCAAATATATTAAAATTGAAGACAAAGAAAGAATTTATTAAAGTTCCGTCAAAATCAATAATAGATTGAAATTGATTCAAAGGTACCCTTGTAGAAGAAAAAGAGAAAAATTCCATACTAATCGATTCTTTTCTGATTAAAAGTCAATTAAATCACTTTTCGCATTAATTCGTGAGACATTTCTAATTGGAATTTGTTGGCTAATACAAATGTATACATTTCTAACTGATTCTTTTGCTAATCATGTTAAATCAGCTTTGCTCAATAAGAAATTTTATCATTTGAAAGAACATGTCAAATTTTTAAGTTTAGTCGATCTTGAATATCATACAGTAACGCGTCAATTTATTTGTAATGCTGTCAAAGCTATTAAACAACAAAGATATGCTAAAATGATTTATGCTGTCGATGCCATATGTAACATCTTAAAGAATATTGTTAGTTCATTTTCACCGTTGAATATGATTACCCAAAATAACAATCATAATGATACTAACGATAAAGGTACCTTGAAGAATACAGCACTTTAATTTATTCAGGGCACTGTATCAAATATCGCAAGTGGTCAAGACGCCATGAAGGCTTCTGTAACTTCAGCTATTTCCGTTGCCGGAGAACATATGAATTTAACTAATTTAATTAGCCTAACAGCAGGATTTCTCCCAAATAATCAAAATCCACAAACAGCTAGTTGTTCTTCAAAAACAAATGATCAAGTTAGTGAATCGTATAAGGCCACCCGTAGTCGTCTTCTTTTTGACATTAAAACGAATTTTTTTGGCAATGTTGTTTTTCAAATTCAACAATATAAATCAATAACAATTGAAAATTCTCTACAAAATCGTCTATGTCAGATATCTGATGAAGATATTGCTCATATGGCTGGTCTTAATTTTAAAATGAGCTATGAAAAAGTTCGTATGAATCATGAAAAATTAACACACCTTGAAGAAGCACGTGATGCTATTGAAGATACAATTGCATCCATTAATAATAAAAATACAAACAGCAACAGATCTTATATAGACAATGATAATAGTAATAAAAAAGAACGAATTCGAATGATATATCAATATACACGTACGAAATGTTTACATGATATTGAGAAAAAATTAAGCTTACGTCGACCGCATAAGAAAAAAGAAAATGAAAAAAAATACAGATCGCTATGATAATCAATACTCATCATTTGATGTTATTAGTCATGATGAAGAAATTTATTATGATACATATGAAGATAAAGATAAGAGCGATAATGAAATAAGTGTATATGATGATAAAATATCAAGTGAAGCATATTTACTTACCATTTTTCGAAAACATGATCAAAAAGATCTCGAATTAAGATTTCTTGAAAGTAATACGCTGGACGCTGATATCAAATTTGTCGAACAACGAGAACAAAAGCAACAGCATTCAACCTTATTTATCAGTGCCATATCAAATGTACCGAGAATTAGAAGTGTTTTTGAACAATATCCCGTATCTCTACAGATATGAATGTTACATTTTCACAACATGAAGATACTTCGTCTAATATAGCTACCGATGATGGAGGGGTGCCCAAGGACTGAGAAATAGAAATTCTTCTTCAGTTCCCCTACAATTTCTTGAGTGGTGAAATGAAAAAAAATACAATATCCAACATATTTTTCGTCATTAAACTCATTTGCATAAAAAAAAAGCATTACCATCAATGTGTGGGAATGAAAACTATTTTGGAAAAAGCACCACTCTCACGTTCATGAGTAGGAGAACTACGAAGGAACCAATGGTCATTTCTCAGTTCCGTAAGAAATTATCATAGTGATGCTAATAGTCCCCCTACTAATTAGGAATTCCTAATTTTCAGTGCTTGGACACTGCTGAGGACTGCCGTATCCTAACCAGCAGAGTAGAATAAAGTAACGGTGTGAGTGTGGGTGTGGATGTATATGAATGAAAAATCATACCATGCACCAACACTCCCACCCACTGCCACACAGAAACGCACACCCACACCCACATCCTAATCTTCAGTTATTTCAACACTATATTCATGCTCAATTGATTGACATTCAGTTCATTTATTAGTTAAAAATGCTTTTCAAAACAATTTAACCTTCGAAATTTTGCCGAAAGTTATGTGAAAACAAGGAAAATATTCCTAGTAGCTGTCTGGACGTCTAGAGAAGTTTGACCGCCCCCTTCCTTCCGTCTAGATTTATCCAGTTTTGGCGAACCCACTCTTCTCTTTACCTGGACCTCCTCTATGGATCACTCCTGAGAAAATACTACTATCTACTATTATTGTTGGTATCATGAAAGCAATATAACTTGTTATCAAATAAGAAAAAATGTATATGTAGCGTTTCACAGGATGTGGGTGTCAGTGTGTGTATTCTCTTTCTTGTAGAGAAGAATCTAGCAAGAATAAATTGTTTGCTTGCTTGTGTGTCCGCACTTCACTGATTTGTCCAAGAATAATGTGAAAACAAAACGAATTATTTTCCTTAAAACTTGACCAAAGGTAATTGAGGGTGGGCAAGCTGAATCCGAGATCAGTTTCTATTAATTATTTGTTAATTAGGTCTCACAAGTCAGACCTTCCACTGTTCAGAAAGCTGAACTCAAATGTCTAGATGAACTTGACAGAAAAACACAGCGAAAATGTGCTCATTGCACTTTTTGAAATGGTGTAAATAAATAATTTGCTGAGAGTTCAGAAACAGCATTTCTACGAGAAAGAGCTGAGCGAGTCGACAGACGAGCGTTACTTGTGGGTTTAGACATGAAGAAAAGAAACACCCGGAATGAGTCGCACGCTAACGCATCCTTATCTATACCATTGATCTGATCGACAAAAAAAAAGAACATCGTAATAAATGGAAAAGTATGCTGCCTCATTCTTTTGTATTGGATATTCTTTTTCTTTTTCTCCTTTTTCTGTCTGTTTTTTTCTCTTGTTTTGCTTTCCATACACTGTAATATCACAATTGCAATGAATAATACCTTTCTATTACATCCCAATATTAAGAAAGAGAAAGAAAGCATAGGAAGGAACAAAAAAACAAAGAGGAAAAAAGCGAGTCCGTTACATGTATGTTCCATTCTCTTTCATACACATCTATATCGAGCGGCTTAGATTGCATGTCGATGTCAGTATCTCGAGCATAGCTTGATATCGACTCATGATATAAGGTTAGTTTTTCTTACAAAAAGCACCGCCTTCAAAAGGGTCTTATCAAATCTTGAGGAGGACTCGCAAGCTCACGCATCCCTATCTATATCACTGATCGCGCCGACAAAAACCAACACTGAAATGAAGTGAGAAAAAGACTGCTTCCTTCTTATTTATTGGATCTTGTTTTTCTTTTTCTCTCCTTTTTTCTGTTCTTTTTCTTCTCAGATACCGCTGTGTCATTAACTTAACTGATAGTACCTCCTTCCTACATGAAAGTGTACGAAGAGAAAAACATGAAGAAGAAAAAACAGAGGAAGCAAGATAGAATGCGCTGATTACATATAGATTTCAGTCTATTTCGTACAAGTCTATTGGCGTCTTATCGCGCCTTGAAGACGAGTCTGGTGAGGGTGTGAGGGACAGTTTCCTTCCATCCTCATCGTCACTTTCACCCTCACCCTCAAGTTAGTTCTCTTTTTCATACTCACCCTCATCCTCACTCTCGACCATCAAATGTTGTTTGTTGTTAATAATAAGAACGAGACTCGAAATTTTGATTGCTTGAGATAAAGAGAGTAAACACAATGTCAATTTGAGAAGAGTCAGTTCAAATAGGAATATTATTTGTGATTGTAAATATGAGTCGATGTTGAACGTTTTCGTGTTCATCGTGCGCAAGAGGGTGTATGTTGAATGAATAAATATTATCTCAAAAACCATAATCTATTGTTAAAAAGTCATTTTGTTTATCAGATGCTTCGATCATTAAGATGACAACAGTACAAATAGAATAGATATCAACGAGTCTTTATTCATATTCCAACGAAACAGATGTTCAGTGATAAGTTATCGAATTGAACGATTATTGTCTTATTGAAAATATGCGAATAAGAAAGAATATTTTTACATAGAGTATTCATAGTAAAAATATCTACAATCCTGCAGTCGTAAACGTTTCATTCTCGTTAGCTTGAGTAGTAAACAATATATACTTATAATTGATAAAATAGAATAAGGCAAGAGAACGCGTATCAGCGCCTTCTTTTGTATCGATATCTGTAACATTAATAACTGGTTATGTAGACTTTTAATGATCAGCTCTTATACTGCCTTCAGTATATTATTCAGTTTTTGTTTTTCGCACATCTTGTTTTGCTCTATACGCAGTCTTTAGATTTAACATTTCCATTTTATTAATTTTCTTTTCGCTTCAATTTTTCTTATCGACTTATTGATTTGGCTTTAAAAATTTCGTTTACAGTCGAAAAAGTAAGCAGCATCTGATCTGTCATGAGAATTTATTTGATAGAATATCTAAAGTAAGTAGATAAAAAACAGAAGAATTAACAGAAAGAAATTCAGAAAACAGTACATTAACTTTCATTGAGTTAGATCATCGGTCGAAAAGGAGAAAATATTATAGAGAGAAAACGATAAAAAATGTTTTCTTCCCGAAGTTCGAACAACACCACTTCTGTTATTAAATCACACATCCTAAGCCAATTAGACTAAAAGGAACAGCACTGTTTTTCATCTTCGATCATCATGTCTAATGCATGATCTAACACGTGAATACGTAAGCGAATTTAAGGAAACGTTTTCACCAATGTTGATGTGAGACGATAAACGACATGGATTTGTAATACTTTGAGATAGTCTTTACATTTTCGAAGTCTGCAAGTATGAGTCTTCTATCTTTCTAACTGTTGCATAGATATTAGCAGATGATCGGGTCGAATTCAAAGTTTCCTGTCATTAGCATCTCGGATCTAACATGTTTCTACACAATCATTGAGAAAAATCTTATTGGAGCGGACATTGTTTCTCACTTTTCTACTTTTACAATCTGTGACAACAAGTGATGGCAGAAGCATCAATCGAACAACACAACTCCGCTCGTCATGTCACTGAGGGCACTTTACAATCATTAAATCTCAAACAAGAAGATAATCTAAACGAATACATTATACTAATCGTGGGTATTCACGATCAAGACAATTTATTCAAAAATCTTTCGATGATTACCACTGAAGATCGTGTGAAAACGTTCGATGACATTGGGAAAAGTCTTCAGTTCATTGATTCTAAGCATGATACGAATATTTTTTTAATTATTTCTGGCACATTGGGAGAGACATATGCACCTAAATTTGATATTACACCACAGATTATCTGTCTTTATGTGTATTGTATGGATAAAGACAAACATGCAATATGGACCAAAAAAATCCAGAAGATACGTTGTACTGTTTCGAATACAACACAGTTACTCACCCGACTTCACGCTGATATTAAAGAGCGAAGTGAACGATGGCCTTTTGGTGAAAAGTCGTTTCAAAAAGCCGCAACGATTACCTCCGAATGGTATCATTTATTTCTTCTAGCAATCAGTCATCAACCTCAATGTATTGAAAAATCTTATCGTGAAATGCTCGACGAATGTCGAATTTACTATAAGAACAATCATTATATGCTCAAACAAATTGACGATTTCGCACAAAATTGCAACTCTTATAGTGCAATTCGTGAATATACAAGAGATAGTTTTCTTTATCGCATTACCAATCGTGCTTTACGCACACAAAATATGGAAATTATCAAGAAATTTAGTCCATTTATCACGGATCTACATTCTCAATTACATGAAAATTATCGAGAGTATTATAATTCCAAAATATATCCAATGCGTGCCGTGTATCGAGGACAACTTTTGAGCGTCGATGAACTTAAATACCTTCGTTCAGTTTGTGAATCGACAAATCCCGTTATTAAGTTGACGACATTTGGTTCTGCATCACTCGATCCTGAAGTTGCAATGAATTTTGTAGCTTTTTCAAACGATCGTATTCCTTGCTTATTTGAGATTATTATAACCGACGAGTACAAGATAGAAGAAAGCGATGCATTGGATGTTACACAAACGTTTGCAAATATTTCCTCATTATCAAACATTCCAGATGAGCAAGAAGTGCTCTTTTCTCTTCTAACACATTTTCGTGTGAAAGATATCGGTGATCTATTTGATCACCCTTATGGTCGATGGGTGCCAATTACACTCGAGCTCATCAATGCTAAGACGAGACACTATGCTTATACTCAACTGCATTTTATCCAATGCATCAAAGAGGAAAAAAATCCACAACATTATGCCGATATTTTAAATGTTTTAAAGGTGATGACCGAAGATGAAGTGAGATTCAATAATATGAATTGGAAAAAATGGTGGTCAATTTCCGCAAAACAATGGGGAACAGATGCAGCACGTGATCAGCCGCTACTTCTAACATTATATCAATGTTTTAGGAATGATAAATATTATTCGAGAAAAGCAATTGAAATGCACAAAGACATTCTACGTTCTGTTCCTAGTGTCGAATCAAATCAGTCATCTTTTTCCTATCTATTTAAAGAATTTAAGATTTGGCAGGAGATACCTACGAAATGTATTGCCCTATACGAACAATATTTAAAACAATTTTGTACTTCGAATACAATGGAAACCGTTGAATGTCTCTATTATGCTGGACAAACTTATGAAAGAATTTGTGATAAAGAGCGCGCATTAGAATGTTATGAAACAGTTCTTGCACTGGATGAGTCCAACAAGTTCCAAAAGAATATTAAAATACAACAGCAGATAAAAAAATTAAAAAAGCCTTCTAAAACAGATCGAATGGTGAACAATGAATGCACAGCAGTGGTAAAAGATACTGACAAAGAATTTTCAAGAAGGTATGAAGTAGAGCAAGAGCAAACATCAGCTTACCGTAATATCAAGAGTAGCGTTGCTTACAAGTCTTCTATAGAAAGTCGTCTAGAACGACTCTTGCAATATCTTATATATCGTGAGGAGTGGTATGATGCGGCTGACTCAAAGATTATTCTTCGTTTACCATACGAAAATACTCCGGATCTGTCGGTTAACGATTATCGCTCCTATTTTTTATCTGCTGTAGAAAGACATATATCCTCGAGTATTACAACAACGGACGCAACTAACAATCATTCTCTTTCTCTCTGGCGTTATCAAAAATATATGCATGAATGGACTTTGTTCAAAGCATTAGAGAAATTTTTACAACCATTTAAAAAGAAATCAAAATGTATTAGCAACCGCATTCTTCCTCGACTTGAGCGATTTCTAAAAAAACTTAGCGTGCTCACTACCCTATGTACTGCTTATATATGTATTAAACAAAGAAGTGGCAAAATTAACGTGAATAAAGTTCAATTTATCAACCTCACAAACACAAAAACGAGACAACTCATTTTCTTCGATCTTGGTGATGGCGACCTACTAGATGGCCTTGAAGCACTTGAAGAAAAAAGTTCAGCTGTTGAAGAAACCTCTATCACTATTCCAGATCACAAAAGGCTGGTTCCAATGGAACTTGGCGACTTTATATAAACAATGGGGAGAGTGTAATTTACAACTGAGCATACCACGATCGGTTTCGTCCTTGCTCAAGGGACTCCTCAGGTGGTTTAAGACATTTTAATTCGATTATAATTAAGAATCAAATTAAAACCTCATCTTGAGGGTGAGAGACTAGCTGTCGTTACGTATTTCGATCCAGCTACGGATTTCATCAGATGGCTTTAATCTCTAATCCGATTTAATAAAGAATCAAGTCGAGAATATTTTACTCTGTTACAAATTCAGTACAAAACTAAATTGTAATGGTAAAATTATTTGGGAGTAGTGAGACTAGCTATCATGACGC